ACAGGGACTTCACTGCCCTCTCTGCAGAGCATCTACCACTGCAGGGCCCACAGGAGAGCAGCCTCATTCATCAAAGACCCAACCCACCCCCAGCATGGACTATTTACACCTCTGCCCTCCAGCCGGAGGTACAGAGGTGTGACCTGTAGAACCTCCAGATATAACAACTCATTTTTCCCAAGTGCCATCAGACTTCTAAACAGCTGAACGTGACATTCTATTATTATTGCAAATGTGCACATTTCAGACTGTTACCTGTTGCACATTTGCACATTTACACTTTAAACACTGATTGTACTGTTCCCTTTCTTGATGTTATTATTGTATTGTTTCCTTCTGATGTCATTATCTCTAGTTTGGTCTCTTTTTGTTCGAAGTGTTGTCTTTTTTTATACTTTATCCCTTATTACCTTGTTAGTGTCCTTTAAGTGCTTATTCTTTTTAGTGTGGTTGTCTCTTGACATTCAGAGTGGTCGGCAAAGTAAGAATTTCATTGCTCAGGGAAACATGTTTTTCATCTGTGTATATATGACAATAAACACTTTGAATCTTGACTCTTGAACCAGTGGTATTACTCAACACGCACCAGATGACTGCAAAGACCAATCCATGTGTCAATAAAGGCCACATTATTACAAAAAGAGTGATGAATTTCAGAACTTTATTCTCGTTAGTTTAGTTTACTCTGACTTACGTGTGAAAAACATGTTATTTACTAAGTAGGAAAGAACGAACCAAGAGACAGATCCAGATTTTAGACTTGAAATCAAACAGTTCTTATACGCAATCTTTTGACCGAACCACACCCTCTGTGGCAAAAGACGTCACTGATATGGAAGGTCCTTCCTGCTAAGTAGTTTGGTTATAACACAAGTTCTGAAATCTGATGAAAGGACTATTTGTTTTTCCATTGTGTTAGCGTAAGGCATGCTTTAACTAATTTGTCTCAAAAATTTTCATGCCAGCATACCACACAGTGATGGCATTTGCAAGCACACTCTCTATGATGGAGCGATAGAAAGTTACCATCAGCTTAGTCTCCAAGTTGTTCTGTCTGAGTCCTCTCAGGAAGTGAAGTCGCTGCCGGGCCTTCTTAATTACGGCTGTGGTATTGACCAACAGGGACAGGTTTGCTGAGATGTACACAGGTCCCCACACTGTTACCATTGATGTAGAGTGGTGCAGGGCAGCCTTGTTCTTCCTGTCATCTACCTCCATCTCCTTGGTTTTTAGGGTGTTGAGTGACTGGTTTTTCTTCCTGACACATCACACTGCCAGCTGCTACAACTCCTCCTTATATGCTGACTCATCTCAACCAGTTATAAATCCCACCATTGTGTCATCTGTATATTTTATGATGGTGTTGGTGCAGATGTACTTCCATTCTGACACAGAGAATCAAGCTGAACCAGGACACACGGTGTGACATAATTATACACTATACACAGTGCATGCTACTGGTGCATAGTGATGAAAAGCAAATGTAGTAATTAGCAGTAAAAACTTGTTTGTGTGAACAGGCTTTGACAAAAGTGACATAAAAACAGTCCACAATGTTCCTTTAAGAAATCTCCTCCAACTTTTTTCTTCTAACAGCAGACTGAGAAGCCCTGAGGAATCTCAACAGATCTCCTGTTTCCCTCCTGTCTCCTGCATGATTAATTATTACTAGCTCCACCTTAGTCCATCTTAAAACCCCTGGGGGCACCCAAAACAAGACGAAAAAGTCCTTACACTGCATATCCCATTTTCTGCACCAAACTCAGTTCCAACGCTAAGCCAGGTGGACCCAGTTTTTGGTCCTAAAAGTGTTATTTTGCTCCTGTTTTGGGCCTGGGATGAGTGCAGTTTAATCCTGACTTCCCTCTGGCGCTGACCTTCCGCTTCCAGCGGAGTTTCCCACAATACCACAAAACAAACCCAACTCCCCTGCAAACTGAGACCTTGCTGGCTGCTTTATCCCAACAGACCCTTGGGGACGGGCGGGTGTGCACGCTGAGCTCAACATGATACTCAGATAAAATTCAAAAAGTAAGCCCTGCTGAGAAAAACTCTCAGCCGAGTTTTGGATAATGAGGGAATCAGAGTACATTATCTTTGCACTAAGAAAAAAAAAAACAGGAGTAGGATGTTTGGAGACAATAGACGAAAAAGGATCAATGTTGAGAGGATAAGAATCAGAGAAATGAAAACGTTATTGTCAGGATGGTTTTGTTACGGGGAAGTAAAGTGAGATGCACACATACACAATAAAACCAGTGTGAGGGGTCAGGCCTTTTGGTTTAAATCTTCACAAAAACTTGTCATATCAGATTAAATTACTACAGACACAACGAGAACTAGAAGCACTCGGAGAGTGCAAACCTCCGCCAAGACCAATTTCCCCCATCCTGTAAAGGAGTTAATGCGCAAAAGCAGAGATGGAAACACATTTGCCAAATAAGTTAAAACATCTACAGTTTCAAAATAAAGTCCAGCTAGCTTAAAAAGTATTGATTTATCTAATGCCTCTAACCTCAGGAAAAGCTTCAACATGTTATTGAGGACATTTATTTTATAGTAGTTATCTTTTGGTCAGATGAACTATTTAGGTTCATTTTTTATTTTAAGTAAAACATATATTTATAAAAACATATATTTATATTTTTAAGTCGTAGTTAAAAACATTTTGTATGTATATGGTACTACTAATCTTATCTAGCTGGGAAAGATTTAAATAAGCACAAAGCTTGGGACTCAAGGGGTTAAAACTGGTGGGGCACAGCCCCCTGTGGCCACCCCCACTTGTTAAACCCCTGGTGACTGACAGGTGATGCTCCCACTGCAGGCACTGTGGTCGTTTGGCATCTGACCGGAGGACGCGCCGTCACGTAAACATGTAAACAGTTCGGCGTTCATTTTCGCACACCCTAACCAGGTCCAGATAAGTTATGTTTTTTTTTCCCCTCTTCATTTGCGCTCTCAGACTCGCTGCGTCACCACGTGCTGCTGCGCGCGCTCCTCCCGCTGCAGGCACGCCGTCACGTAAACATGTAAACACTGGTCCGGATAAGTCATGTTTTTTTTCACCCTCTCCATTTGCGCTCTCAGCCACGCAGCTTCCCGCTTCCTCTGTTTTGACTCCAGCCGGTTAMRTCATCAAAAAGAATTGCGCGGTTGGCCGGTAGACTACAGATCTCTATCATAGGACAAATTTATATCGTTTCTACCGTATATCGTTTATATCGCGCATTCCTATTTGGAGTAATGCTGTCCACAGACAGACCGACCGACATACGCGACAAACATTACCTCGTTGGCAGAGGTAAAAATTGTGTCAGAGTAAAGCTGGAACAATGAAACTTAAACTGTTCTAACTAAAGAACAAATGAACAAAAACGTGATTGGTTAACAGCTGACAGCAACACAAATAGTAACATCCTGACTAATATAAAACACTGAACACAAAGATCAGACCTAAACATCACCTGTTTGGCATGAGAGAAAACAGGAAGTGAGCTGCTGACATAAAGTTTCCATATTTTAAAAAGCGCAGCTTTTAGTTTGTTTATCATGTTAGTGGGGGTTTCTGCTTCAATGGCCTTCACAGGTGGCTGCACTCATTATCTTCCATTCCCATTGTTTCCCTCTGGTTCAAAATCACCCCCACTCCATCCCAACCTTATCCTACTTCTTCAGATAAATATACAGGATGGATTTCAGGCTGTGGTGAGCCAGGACCCAGCTGAGGGCTCACAGGATGGTTTGTGTAGTTAAAGGTAAAAATATTTAAGATACAGTGCAGAAAACTGTACCATACTGTTGATTTTATGAATCATTTAGGTTCAAAGAAACTTTTAACTGAAACATACATGTTACTAATAACAGGGGGAATATGAGAGTTTGACAGCCTCGAGTCCAGACTCAGAACACCTTAAAAATAACCAGCAGCTATATATTTAATCTTACTTATAATCACACATTTTACTGAATACAGCCAGGTTATTCAAATAAATAGCTTGGTCAGCTACAGTTACTGTTAGCTAACAGCACAGGGGAATTAGTGTCATAACATAAATTTAACGTACTATTTCAAGCCTTGTTTTAAACGCATTGGAAGGTGGACTGAGTTAAATCATCCTGTCATAACAGGAACGCCGTTTTAACAGAAACATTTATTTCAGATTTTTTATTGTTTTTCTGGCAAATTTAGCTTTTTTATTTAATATATAGTTTTATTTTAAATGAACTCATCAGAGGGCCAGACTTGAGCACAACTGTGAGCTGGATGTGACCCCAGAGCCATGATTGGCGCAGCTGCTGAGTGTGAAGTGAGTCAAGGTGGAATGATTACTGAGAACACAGTGTTGAAAGACATGCACACAATATGCTATGATTTCTAAAAAAAAAAAAAAAAAATGGATGTACGAAACACATATGCACAGAGCTTTGTTTGAAAACACTCAGAATTCAGTGAGACTGAAACAGGAAATTAATCTATTTTTATCAGTTTTGAGCAACCAACTATTATCTTTGTCAGTCCTGTCGAATCTGTTATACGTAGCTGACATTAGCGAAATGTAACTGAATATAAGTATATTAGCTAGATGTGGAACCATAAAATCATTTAAACAAATATTGTACAAATGACCAAAAATATGTACACTTTATTTCAGTACTTTCGTGTATATCTCTGAGACACACTCAGATATTTTATTTTATATGTACTACAGTGCACCAAAACCTTGTCGATGACAAATTAAAATAACAATAACCACATTATTTGTTTGTGTTTGGACACATTGCAGCAGATTTATACATTTTGCCTGGGATTTATTTAGGGAGGGATTGCTGGTTAACAGTTCTTTGGATCAATCATGCCACCAAAAGAGAACATATCTCAAACTTGGAAAAGAAAATATCAGGAAATCTATTAATCTGGTTCAAATAATAGCAGTAAACTTTTGATATGTACCTAAATAGATGCATTTAAAAGGGAAAACACACAAGACAACACCAACCTCTTGTGTGAACGCTGGAGCAGGAGAAAGACAGATCTCTTCAGTTAAAGCCAGATGATGTAAGACTTCTCTTTCGCTGCTGCTTCGACCTGCAGAGAAACGGCAGAAACAAATGCAGCTTTGATTCCAAATGACTAAAACACACCACCTCTAGAGGCTAACAGCTCTGTCATTGTTGGCTCTCTCACAATAACTATCATCCTTTTCCTCATTGCTCACCAGTATTTCCCATCTAAACAAGACACAACAGAGAAGCGGCACCTGGAGAAACTTAAACTGTTTCATATGTTCATAAAAACGAGGGCAGATGCTAATGTTGGCGTTCCTCATTAGGAACTCAGCGGTGAAGCTGCATAAAGCTTAGCACAACTTTTAACTCGCTCAATGGCTGTCTGAAATCCAGGACTGCAGTCTACCTAGACCAGAGATTCTTCACCTGTGGGCCACAGCGCCACCTTGAGGGCCTCAAAAGAACAACAGTTTTTAACTTTGGGCCACAGAGGGCCGTGGGACCACATTGATTTTAAATAAGGTGTAATACACTTTCTCTCCACTAGTAGCAGTAGTGCACCACTCAGATGTTTAACAACTTTTTAATATGTAGAAGAAGAACCTTAGAAACCTGCTGAGAATGGAAACTTATTTTAAATGAAAAGTAGAAACAAAAATGAAAGAAACTCATCAAAAACACCAAAGTTTGTCACTAATATGAAGAGCAGCTTCTGTTTTTACCATGTAATATTTTAAAAGTTCAAAACATTATCAAATACAGTTGCAGATACAACTATATTTTAATTTGCACTTTATCAAATTATTTTTTGTAGTTAATTTTTTAAATATTTTTACGTATTTTAAAGAAACTTTAAACTTGTCAAAAAGCTGTTGTTACTGTTGTTTGTCACCAATATGAAGAGCAGCTTCTGTTTCTACCATGCAAAAGTTTAAAAATAGTTTCCTTTGTACTTTATCAAAATCAGTTTTACAGTTTTTTGTATTTGAAACATTTAATCATTTTTAATTTATTTATCTTATGCCCACAATTTTATTTATTGAATTTTCTATTTTTGTTATTTGTGTATTAAATATATATATTTGTGTTGATAAGCCTGAGTGGTCTGTTGACTGAGATTTGTATTTGTTCAAATAATTGTTATGGGCAGGTTACAATATAAAAAATTGTTTGTCATAATCTTGTCTTTTGATTATTTGACAGCTTTTAAAAATGTAAGTGTATTTAATTTAGTTATAATGTAAATACAATAAAAATTAAACCAAGATTTATAATAATTATCATTTTGATCCATACATTGGTAATGTCTGACTGGGCCTCGTGACACTTTATGTTTAATAAATTGGGCCCCGAGGTCAAAAAGGTTAAGAAGCCCTGACCTAGACCACGGCCCATAGAGGCTACAGCCTATGCAGTCCGGGTACGATGCTTTATACGGCTGTGAAATGAGACTGTCTGGCCTTCACATGATGTACTTATCTACCCAGTTACCATAGTGATTGTGTTCCTCCAGAATTAAAATGTGTTGAAACATGTCTTTTCATTTTTCTCTTTAGTTTACTGATGGTGCAATCAATCCTGGGATATCCTCGGCTGGGAAAGATAGTCAGATGCATCCTTCATTTCTGGGATTTTGTGGCCCGCATTCATCGGCCACATGAGAAGGAGCCCACAAATTAGGCAAGAAGTTGCTAAAATGCTGATAATGCGAACAGAATGTTGCAATTTTCGTCATGAAACCACGACAATCCGATACAATTTTGGCAGTTCGGCTGCAGCATACTGTAGCTTGAGTATCTGACATGCAGGCAAGCAAGGAAGGAGCTCCCCAACAGTTTACTGATCTAATCAATAAAACTACAAGGCTGAAATGAATGAATGGATCGCGATGATCTGTTTAAAGAACCTGGGTGAGATAAACTGGCAAATTAGATCTAGATGGCTAAAAAATAACTCAATATAATCGCAGTATTGCATTCGTAAGGGTCACCTGAGAGGGAATGGACATTTCCACCTGTCTTTGACCCTGGTCTCAAAAGACCTTTCTCAAAAGAGACATTTTATTTTCTTTAATAAACAAAATAATAATCTTCTTTATATTCTTGATTTACACTTTCTTTTAACTACAAGTTATCATTTTTTAAATCAAAGTTACATAATGAAAATAATGACAATCTGTCTTCTTGCATTATACTTCAGAAAAAGAAAAAACACACAATAAAAATATTGTTTCAATGTTTCTTTATTTGTTTTACACAAATCTTTGTTTAATCAACTGTTATTTTACAGTAAAGTGATTGTGTTTGATCAATTTAACTAAATTGATCATTGTGATTACTTCACTATGTTTTATTATGAAATATACATATAAAAATGTTTGTATTTGAATCATAGACAAATATTTTAAGATTTATTTCAGTTTAAATAATTCACTTATATTTCACTGAACTTTAGTTCATTTTCTTTCAGTGTTAATCCTGTCAAAGTTTGAACTTGTTTTTCTGAGCAGGTGCAAGATGTTTTTCTGCTATGGCGAATATCCTAGACTAAACCTTTCATTCTGCCTGTAACTAACCCAAAAGTCGAGGTCACGTTCCTAGCTCTTTCTCTTTAGAAATGAACCCTGGAACGAAGCCCTCGACAGACAGAGAAAGGAAAAGAGATGAGAAAGACTCCATTTTTTCGTCTCCCTGAGCTGTTTTTCCTCCGCAGGAGAAATCAGCATTTGGCACTGATTTGGCTCTTTTCCCAACGAGCAAGTCTTTGCCTATCAGCTCATGACACCTTCAGTCGTGATCCAAACCACCAGCTTTGAAGCTCCATTCAGTTTTAAAAACCTCTGATGAGAAGTCTTTTATTTTGAAGAAAAACCTGAAACGGGTTTTTGGCTCGCTCCTTCGGACAGAGGCAGATCTCCAGACGCTGTAAAGCAAAACTTTGGAAGTTCTACTGGAAGTAAGGGACTCTGAGTTTCTCACCAACCTGGGTAAAACTTCCTAACGCTCAATCCGACGGTCGAGGCACCTCCAGGTAAAACCTGAATGTTTTGACAAGTGTACCTGAGTTTGGGCTGATGCGTCGGCCAGAGACCTTAAGTGTTTGTTCTGGTTTTTCACACATTCTTCCTTCTTTCTTTATCTTAATCTTAAACCTTGCCATATAAGTTTCGTGTACCTGCAAACATCTGGTTTATTAAGACCTTAAACCTGAAATTCTGCTGTCTCTTTTTAGAGTTGTCATATCGACATTAATTAGCGCGGACATGTACCTGTTTTTGTTGATGTTTTAACTCACAAAAATTTTGATTGTTCACAATAAGCTGTACATTAGTAATTAATTTGATTCTGTAAATAAAATTATTTTTTTAGATCAACTTAAATTCCTGAGTAAGTTCACTTATTGTGGTTATTCTCATATTTACAAAGAGAAGATGTTTATTCCTTAAAAAGAAATAACTCGTGATTTTCCTCTTAACTTTAGTTTTGAGAAGGTGTAGGTACTATCCATACACACTGCATGAGGAGAAACTCTTGAGATCTCAAATATTCCCAGTATCACCCAGCCCTAAACCATAGCTACTACCACAACAAATCATACCAAACAAAATCTGACTGTTACAGACCTTTTTGTGTTGGCTGAGGCCTTTAGCTGTGGTGGCCATCTTGATTTAGAATGACCTCAAAAGTTAATCAATTATAGATGTACATAAAAGTTTCTGAAAATTTCATTAAAATTTGTTTAGCTGTCATGAGATATTTCGCTAAAACAGACAAATAGATACGCACTGACACAAGGTCATGAGAAGTAAACTGCGTTTGATGAAACCATTTAATGCTCTGGAGCTAACAGATTAAAAGTAAACAGCATCTTTGGCAGGTACCAAACACGTTCCTACTGTCAGCAGATTTCACTTCCCCTGCTTGCTTCAGAGGAATGACACACATATTTCAAGCTGTAGATAATTAACTAATGGTTGACTCTTCTCCCCTTGGGTCAACTCTTTTGAAGCCTCCTAATGGAAAATGTCAGCAGAGAGCAACGCTCAGCTCAGTTAACCATCAGGTCAATAGTCTGACCTAACAAGATTGCCCAGAAACGCTAACCCAAACTGAATGTTGCAAATTAGATGTTGATAACAGCTGAACCAGAAACAGACGGGGGATAGCACAAAGGAAGTTAAAGGTTTGTGTGCAGATACAAGAGACATGTTTTACAGTCAAGGACACCGTGTCAGAGGCAACACTAGACAGACAACACACCTAATCACTTAATCACTGCGCCTCAGGGGCCACTTTAAGTTTATTGCATTCCAAGCTGATAAAACACTAAACTGTTTAACCTCGGAAAGAAAACTACTTTCAGTCTTCACTTTCAGTCAGTCAGTACTTTCAGTGTCTTTGAGTGTCTTGATAAGCGCTTTAGAAATAAAATGTATTATTATTTATTATTATTAGTGTCTTTCACCTCCATTTGACATCCTCTGCAGGCAACAACTCAGCCACAGCAAAACATGGTAAAGCAACTCATTCCCAAGTCGTGCAAACACTTTGTTACAATCAGAGCAGCAGCTGGTAAAAGGCTGATCAGGAGTTCCTTTTTCAAATATTTATGAACTAATCAAGATCTCAAGGGAAAACCCAGAACTTGGCCGCAAACACTTAAAAGAATAATGGTCCTAACTTAAATGGCACATTTTTAATCTCTTCTGGTTCTGCGAAACAGTGTTTTCTCAGTTAACGTCATTGCGAACTAAACCTCCCTGCTGTGTTTAATCAGGTAAATGTAATCTGAATTACTGCTGTCGTTCTGTGATTGACAGCACATTACAGCTGACAGCCACGGTCCAACAACTCCAAACAAGTAAACATTAAGATAAGATTAACCATACGACATCATTTGATTCATAAAATCCAATAAAACTGAGCTTTATATGCAGGATTGGAACAGTCTTAAAGGTTTTCGTTGAAAACAAACAGTGGGATCTTTAGAATTTACACAAGGATCTCTGTTTAGTTATTATTAAGCAGTCACAGCTGAGGAGACAGTTCCCCCATTAGACGTCCACTCTGCCACCTGTGT